GGGATAACAGATCTCTTGTATGTTGGTGTCGCCATGGTGGTATAGTGTAGAAGGAAAGTGGCTGGGGACTCTGGCAGGAGCTCATCCGTGACCTCATGTATTATCGTCCGGATTCTTTCCCAGAATGGTCTAATACGGGCGCATGTCCACCATATGTGTATGAACGTACCGGTCTCCTCCCCGCATCTCCAGCATGTGTCTGGGATTTCTGGGTTCCTGGCGTGAAGTGCCGTCGGTGTCAGGTACCATCTGGTAAGTATCTTGTACGAGTTTTCTTGTGAGCGTGCCAAGCTCGGTGTTTTTTGTATCAGGGTAATGCTTTTGTCCCAGTCCGCTTCCGTCATGGTTTCCTCGAGGTCTTCCTCCCATTTTCTGATGCACGGTGGCACTAGTAAGTATCTGCTCGTGATTAAGATAGTATATATTTGTGAGATGGCTCTCGGTGGTTCCTTGTCTTCTGTGCAGAGAATTTCGAATTGTGTTGGTTCTCTCATTATGGATGGTTGTTGCGGGATGGATTGTTGTTGGTATTGAGTAATTTGTGCTCTTGCTAGGGCGTGTGCGAATGTGTGTGGTCTGCCTGGGTAGAGGTCATCTAGTGGTCGGATGTCGAAAGGACGGAGGAGGACGTCTTTTATGTGGGGTATTGTTTTGTGTCCTGCTGGGCCTGGCGTGGGGCCATAGTCCCCTGCCGGGAAGTCTGGGTTTCCTTTTAGGAGCAGGAGTGGGCCTGGGTCCGTTGTCAGGTATTGTTTCGTGCCTTGCCCGTGCCATACTTGCATGGTCGCCGCCATGAATGGGTTGGTAATATGTTTGCTCCTGTACGCTGCCCTGGAGATCCATGGTCTGAGGTCACAGCTTGTCATGTCTGCTTCTAGTTGTGTCCACGGTTTGGTGCCGCTGGCTACCGACCAACTGACGACTCTCGCGATGTGTGCCGCGTGGTAGTATTTTTCAAAGTCAGGGAGCGCTAGGCCCCCCCTGAGCTTGGGCAGAATCAGTTGGGTGTGCGCTATGCGCGGAGATTTGCCCTTCCAGATAAAATTGCGAACCTCCATCTTGAGTGTCGAGAAGAACGTTTGTGGGGCTCTTATTGGTACTGTTTGAAATATGAAGCGTAGCTTCGGCAGCAGCGTCATTTTTACCGCGTTACCCTCTGCCCAGCCAGGATATGTTGTAGGAACCCCATCTATGCAATTCCTCCGTTGCTTTTTTTAGTATTGGGGGGTAGTTGTGGGTGTATAAATCCACCGGGTTAGGTGTGAGCCAAATCCCCAGATATTTCATGCGGTGGTCACAACAGCGATATGGTTCTTGTCTCTGAATTATTTGCTTGAGTGTGTTGCTAATATTTAGGTTCAGTATCTCCGATTTTGTGTAGTTGATTCGGAAGTTCGAGATGCGGCCATACATGTCGAATTCTGTCTGTATCGCTCGCAGTGATTTTTCTGGGTCCGTGACTATGAACAGCATGTCATCCGCATATGCCAGAGTTTTGTGGTGTGTGTTTCCGACTGTCGGTCCCCGGACGTCCGTGTTTTGTCTGATCCTGCTTAGGAAGGGCTCCAGCGTCAGTGCAAAAAGTATGGGCGAAAGCGGGCAACCCTGTCTGGTTCCGTTGTGGATCTTAAACGGGTCTGTTAGCGCACCATTGATCAGGATTCGCGCCGTTGGGTTGGTGTAGAGCGTCTGTACCCAGGCCATGTAGTGCGGACCGATCAAACGCTTTCTCTGCATCAGTGGACAGGAGTAGGACTGGGGGGAATGAGGTTTAGGGCTCTGATGGTGTTGTCCCTCACCTCCCTGCCCGGGATCAAACCCGTTTGATCTGGGTGGATTGTGGCTTGTAGTAATGGTGCCAGGCGTGCCGCCAGTACGCTCACCAGAAGTTTGAGGTCCGTGTTCAGTACGGAGATCGGTCGATAGCTTGAGCATAGTGTCCGGTCTTTGTCCTCCTTTGGGAGAAGGGTGATGTTTGCTGAGGTGAATTGGGCCGTTGTTGTGGCTCCATCCTGGATAGAGTTCAGGGCTTTCAATAGTTTTGGTAATAGGTCATTCATGAAGGTTTTGTAATATTGAAGGGGCATGCCATCTGGTCCCGGTGCTTTGCCCGTTTTTGCTTTTTTGATGGCGTGCGCCAATTCCTCCGGAGTTATGGGTGCCTCTAGTGCTTCTTGGTCTACCTCCTCTATTCCCGGTACATTTGCCGTGTCCAGGTATCTGTGGATGTCCTCCACTTTTTGGGAACTCAGTGTTTCCGGAATGGCTTGGCGGAGGCAATATAAGTCCTGGTAGTAGTCGTGGAACGCTGTAGAGATCTGATCCGGTAGGTGCCTGAGTTGTTGGTGTGCGTCTTTGATTTTCGGGATATATAGTTGGTTTCGGCGTTGCTTCAGGAGATTCGCTAATAGTCTCCCGCATTTGTCCCTGTGTTCATGGATCATATGTTTGTAGTGTTGGAATGAGCGTTGGATTGTGCGGTTCAGGTGTGTGGTGAGTTGGTTCCTTTTGGTCATGAGTTCTTCGTATACCTTTATGTCCAAGGTGCGTTTGTGTCTAGCCTCTAATACCTCGATTTCTTTGCTGAGTTCTAGTATCGTCTGTACCGCCCTCTTCTTGCGGGTCGTGCATATCGCGATGAGTCTGCCTCGAATTACCGTTTTGTGTGCTTCCCAGCATGTCAGTGGGGTGACATCGTCTGTCTCGTTGAAGTAATCCTGTATGTGGTGACTGATCTGTCGCCATGACATTTGTCGATTCGTTCAGTCGCCATGACATTTGTCTGGGTTTGTATAGTAGTGACATCATCCGTATGCGAATTGGGCAGTGATCTGACCATGTCATTGGTAGTATTTCCGCGGTGTTGAGCAGGGCTAGATTATGATGAGGTGCTAAGAAATAATCGAGTCTTGTATAGGTCGAGTGAGTCGTGGAGTAGAATGTGTAGTCCCGGGTAGACGGGTTTAGTGCTCGCCAGCAGTCTGCCATCTGGTGGAGGTGTAAGAGGCGGAGTGTGTTGGCGTGCCTGTTGAGCAGTGTATTTCCGCGTGTAGATGTGTATCGCCAGGTTGAGATCTCCTCCTATGATCAAGGTGCCTTCCATGAATTTCATCAATGTGTTCAGTGTACTTCGGAGAAAGTGGTGTTGTTTCGTGTTCGGGGCGTACACGTTAGCGAATGTGTACGTTTGGTCCAATATAGTGCCGTTTGTGAAAATGTATCTGCGGTTGCTCCGTGTATGGGACTCGCCTTGAAAAGAGGATGCAGACTCCCAGTGAACGTCTGTCCTGGTTGTGACTGAAGTATCCCGTTTGAAAGTTGCGGTCTTTCAGGGCTGGTGTCCTGCCTTCCTGGAAGTGCGTTTCCTGGAGAAACGCTATTGAAGCTTGGTAGTGTTTCAAGTCACGCAGTAATCTTGTGCGTTTCTCCCTGACATTTAGGCCGCGTACATTATAGGAGACTATGCATAAGTCTTCTCTGGCGAAGCTGCTGGGTTCTTGTACTGGCATCGTCCGGGCGGCCCGGAGGGGCGACGGAGGCGGGGCGGGTGGGTCCAGGGTGTGTGTGTGTGGTTTGGTGTGGTCGGTTTTGCGTCTAGGTTCCGGTTGAAGCTGTATAGGTACTTGCTGTTGGTTGTGTCTTTGTGGGTGCGGAGGATAACGGACAAGTGTCCCGGTTGTTCGACCTATAGGTCCCACCCAGTGGTGTGCCTGTGTCGGTGCCGGGAGTGGTACGTTCCCTGCTAAGTGGGGACTTTTGTGTCCTATGCCTGTGGGGGTGTCAGGCTATATGTCCTAGTAGGCTCGGTCCGCCGCGTGACGTCCATCAATGCCGTGTAGGTGTGGAATGTGATAACGTGCTCGGTACCTAGTGTGTGGTCACACATCTCCTTAGTGGCTGTGCAGTTGGAGCATCCGCTCCGTCTCTTAGTTATTGTGCGTGTATGAGTCATCGTTTGCGTATCATGCAGGTTGCCGTCTATTGCAGTGGTATCTCTCGACTTGTGTGTGTCGTGTCTCGGGGGTGGTCTCGCTTTGTGAGTTCCTGTCTAGGTGCGTGTGCGCTGCAACTCCAGGTCTTGTGGGGTGGGGGTAATCTCTACTAGCAGGACCTGTGAGTAGTGTTGTTCTAGTGGAGTATCGGGTCTGGTGGTGCTACCTTCCAGCCTGTGTCTCGCCGATTATATGGGTGTGGTGTGGGCGGGGGTCGTGCGTGCCTGGGGGTTGATCCCTGTGTAACCTTACTCTCTATATTCCCAGTGCGGCTGACTCTTCTATGCCCTATTCATTCCCTGGCTTTTGTGTGGTGTCTACGCCGCTGGCCGCTGGCCGTGTCGGAGGCCGCTTTGTGGCTGCGTGTATGTGGTGCGGGTCTTGTGTAGTGGATTGCATTTTACAGCACATGCAGTAGGTGGGGCCCCCCTGGGTCCATGTCTTGATGGGTTTAGGTTGATCCTTCTTGGGGACTTTCACTTGGTCCTTATTGCCATTGATTCCCGTAGCGTCTATGCTTAATGTGCATCCATGGTTGGTGAATGCGGCGTCTCACTCGAAGACTGTGCCTGTGTATTTTGCCTCAGGATACCTATTTTGGGTCTCCCCCTGTCATCTCCTGACTCCCATTACCCCCCCCCCCCCAGTCTGGCATCCAATTCCCTTTCTCGTTCTTTCCCTCCCCCTCTGTTTCCTTTCCTTGTATCCGTACCTCCCATCTATCTCACGGCTTGCCGGGCCTGGGTTCCAGTCTTTGCAGCGCTGTTGCTGGGGCCTTTGAGGACCCTGGTCTGGTCTGCGTGGTTGCTGCGGTCCAGATGGTGGTTGGAGAAACGATCTCGCCAGCCAGTCTGGCACTTGGAGCGGTGGCATGCCCATGGCTCGGAGGAAACCTGGTAGGTCACTTGGTCTCCTCACCACCAGTTGATCTGGGCCGTGCCTTGCTGTATGGTATTGATCTGGGCCGTACCCAGCGGTACGGTATTCCTGCCTGTTGCAGGGCAGATGTTACCGGGCGTAGGGCTCTCCTGGCTTGCAGGGTGTATCGGGACAAATCTTGATAAATCGATATGTTTTGGCTCTCAAAGCGTATGGTCCCCATGCGGCGAGCCGTGCGCAGAATGTCTTCAGTTGGTAGTTTTCTAGGCAGCATATGATATCTCTAGGTTGTTCTTCTGGTGCCGGCATGGGTCGCAATGCCCTGTGCGCCCTGACTAGGCTTAGTCTGGGTAGTTGCTGGCCCCCCACGGTGAACAGTCGTTTTAATATGTCAGGTATGTGTTCCGCTGGGTCACCTTCCCTAACCCCGCGGACGCGCAGGTTCAGTCTGCGGCCGCTGTTGTCCAGGTCGTCTACCCACGTGGTGAGGCTGGCAATGTCTGCTTCTTGGTGAGCTACAGTCGAGTTTGTGTGCTCCAGGTCCCTGCGGATTGCCCTGGTCTCAGAGTCTGCCACCGACATACAGGCCTCCACATTGGCCAGGCCGACACGTAACTGAGCCACCTTCTCCCTTACTACACGGCCTAGACGGTCTGACAGGACCTCAAAGTCGGCTTTGGTGAGTAGGTTTGGCAGTATGGCCCTCCATTCACCCTCCTGCGGGAGCTGCGTCTCCGACATCACTGAAGGTGCTGGCGATAGTCTGGCCGGCGTGGAGGGGAAGGAGTCAATTTCCTGGCTTGCGGTCTCAGCCTCCCACTGCGGTGAGTGAGCGCGGGCTGCAGCATGGAGGTAAGAGCAGATGGATTGCTCCCCTTCTCGTCCCGAGGATCTCGGAGTGCCTTTGGGGTCTGTTAGTTTTTTTGTGCGACCCATTTCTGGTGTGTGGGCGAGCAGGATGCATGGGTAATTGCAGAGTTTCAGTGGGCGCCACGAGGAGCTCTTGTTTTAGGCGTCCATCTTCCTCGGCCGCCGGACATGCCCCCCTGAACCTCAATTGTATTAGTTTTGATATGAAATCAAGCCAGTAAATTCAATGCCGCAATGAAAAGGTGAAATATGAGATATTTCTCTGCTTTCTGGCATTGCAATGGGTGAGTGAATAGTAAGGTACATCTTGGGGTGTTGGGAATCGTTATCCCTGTGCAAGATTGTATTTTGGAAATAACCACTGCCCAGTAATCAATAAGATTACTGATTCACACCATGTGTGAAGCATGGTACCTAGATCACTCTCACAATGCCAGCACTGACTGGAGTGTAATGGATACATCCAGGATAATCTTGTGGGCATCATATTTCAACAGTAGAACATTTTCCTTAGAAGTTCTACATGTAATGCATTCAGAGTTTTTCCTTTATATGCTGTAATTTCCCATTCTTTTTCAGACAACATATGTACCTATTGTTTCTCCCAAGCCTGTGTGCATGATACATTATGAATCGTGCAAGGGTCTTGTAATACCTTAGAAATCCTAGATATTGCTTTTTTAGGCAGTGTAAATCCACTACACGTACTCCAGCTCTGTCCCAAACCCTGTAGTTAACGCCTCGGATGAGTACCCCATAGTTTTCAATGCCGCTAGTGAAACCATAGAGTGGTGACAGATGAAGTGCCTACGTTTATCTCAGAGATGTGATGTAATACTAGTTCCTTTCAATTTGGGTAGGAGGTTAGGGTAACATGTTTTGGAAAGTCAGATCAGAGATGACTAATTGAGTTTTGCCCAATGTTCTTCAACTGTAACCCATTGTGGTACATCTCGTTGTGAGTGTAGTGGCAGAATGCTTCTGAGAAATGCAGTTTTCTAATACCCTGAGATATTAGGAAAACCCATGCCATCAGCATACATAGGTTTATATTAAGTGTTTATAGCCACTCTCTGGCATCTCCCATCCCAGATAACTCTATTAATGTCTACAAGAATTAGTTGGGGGCTGTAAGTGTTAGGGTATAGAATAGATATTGTAATTTTAGTAGAATGGACATTTTTATAGCTGCAATTCGGCCTGACCAGGAGAGGGTCTCCCCCTTCAAGAACATTAGGGAGACCATAGATTTTCTGAGTGTAGTATAATTTAGGTTGTAGAAGTTAGGAACTATGGAAGAGAGATGCCAAGAAATTTTAATTAAACAGTTCTCCAATCATAGGTGAAATTGGATTTTAGATGAGAGAGAATGCCATCCTCCACTCCCACATCCATCGCATGGGTTTTTGACAGGTTCAATTTGTAACATGGACATTTGCTATTAGCTTGTAATACCTTATAGAAAACAGGCATGTGATGATGCATTAGTGTGACTAGTAAGTCGTCAGCAAACAGATTAAATTTATATTATTTTCCCCCCCGATTGAATGCATTGTATGTCAGGATTCATATGAATCATTTCAGATAGAGGTTGCAGGGCTGGAATGTAAAATAGGGAAGACAAAGGACATGCATGCCTGGTCATGTTTGTTATATAGAAGGGATCTGATAAGAATTCTAAATTAAAATCTCTGGCTGTAGGTAAGCTGTACAGTGCCTTATATACAGATTGGATAGTGGGAGATCAAATTTACAAAAGACAGCTAGTAGGAAAGACCAGTTAAGACAATCAAATTCGGCATCCAAGGACAGAATAATGCTACCATGTTGTAATTGGGGCATCAGCTTTCAAAAGAGATTTGGGGCAGAAATTTGGGCATTTTGTTAGTGCTTCACCTGGTTTTAGCAAAGTCACAATTTTAACCATAAGGATTTCAGAAGGGAGTTAAGCCGTTGACAAAGTCAAGTGGAAAGATTTGACCCGTTGGACTGTGAGAGAGGCGTTAATAATACAAGTTTTTTAATCAGTCTGTGCTGAAGGCTTTCTGGGATGGTAATACTTTTATAACAGTTTCTACCTCTTCCAGAGTGACAGGTATATTCATTAGCTCCTACTGTTCTGGTAAGAGTCTGGGTAACGTCACTTGAGATAAGAACTGATCTATATCATGTTGTGTAGGTTGGTACAAAGTCGAGTCACCTTCAAGTTGTATAGTTTAATGTAAAATGTAGCAAATTCATTGTATGTATCTTGTGGACTCAATACTTTTTTTGCCAGAATTGGAGATCAAATGGTGTATTTTTCTGGAGGATTGTCTTTCCCTCAGTGTTGCAGATAGGACCCTCCTGGTTTTATTGCTTTTGGAGTTATATTTAATTTTTGCATGCTATAGTTTATATAGCATGTGCGCAGTTTTAGCTAAGTTCAATTCATTTATTTGTGATTTAAGGGATGCAATCCCCTCTCCCAACTCTTCAGTGGAGAATAGATACAAGTTCCTAGTAGCATCTTGTAAGAAACATAGTAGGGATTTTTTCTTAAGCAAGGATGCTCTGCTAATGAACAGTCCTCTCATCACAGTTTTGTAGGCTTGCAATGTTGAAGCTGGGGATACACCTGGAGTATCATTATGTTGTAAATATTCCATTAAATCATTCTGTATAGAAGAGATGTAAGTGTGATGTATAACTGGGTATGGTCTGACCCCAGTATGTCCCCTATGAAACAGTCCACTACTGTGTAGAGAAAAGTTCCCCTGAAGCAGACACAGCTCGATTCTGGAGTGGGAGTGGTGCACAGTGGAATAGTGTGTTATCACTGGCATGTAGCGTGCACCAAACATCTTATTAGTTAAAGCTGATGAGTAGCTTAACAAAAGATTAACAGGATGCTTTAAGGTTTCTATACCTGGTGACATTGGCAGAAATGGAAGTGCCCATGGTTGTATCTAATATATGGTTAAAATCTCCACATATCAGTGTAGTGCCTCTTTGAATTGAGGAGAGTTTATTTTTTAAAGATATGGTGCAAAAAAATACTTTGATTGACATTTGGTACGTATAGGTTTATTACAAAGGCAGACTAGGATTAGGTAGTGGCCTTGTGAGTCTGCAATTTTCTGCAAATGTTCAAATGCTATGAATTTGTGGATGCGTATGGAAACTCCCCTGGCTTTTGTGACATATGTTGAGGGATGTTGTACTGGATGTACAATGTTGTGTTCGGAAATTAGGTATTTTTGTTTGTGAAGCGACAATATATCAGCTTGCTCCTTTTAGGCATTTTTAAGAAGCATGCACCTTTCATGTAGCATATTAAGTCATCTTATATTATGTGAATATATTTTCATGTTCTGACAAATGGAAAAAAAGGAGCTGCAGCCTGGGTTGCCAATAATTTTAAACGTGTTAGTATAGGTCCAACAGTTACAAGAAAACTGGTTTATATACCGCTCTCTGGGTGTTGCTTATATATGTCTTGATTAGAGTGATTTTAGGTGTTTATCTCAGCCAGGGTCCATTTCTTTACCTTGCTTAAGTTGACGAAAAGGTTAATTTAAATGTAATATATGTATATGTCCTTAAGAAGAGTGCCTTTATGACTATTGATCTATAGACATTTGTGTGCCCAGAATATGGGTGGATCAAAGAAACATCCTTCTAATGCATTTTAGGTACCCAGCATATTAGGAGGGGGAAAGGTGGGTAAAAGGGCAGATCAGAAAGTAGAACTTCAAAAACTTCAGAAAATACCCGACGTACGTGTTGTGTTCTGGAGTACACTACCATGGAGAGCATGGAGTAAGAGCAGTCGTTCACAGTTGCACGTTGGGTTGGCCAGAACCAGTACCATCCTGTGTTGTAAGGATGTCTATATATATATACCAGAAAAGTTGCTGAATGTCTTTGCAAAAAGAAAAGAAAAAAAAAGATGCTGCAGAGGTAAAAGTATGGTATCTTTACAGCATGAAGAGGGGGCTTAGGGTTATGGGTGCACTTTCCTTGGTCTGTATCAGGGAAATGGATCAAACTAATTAAAGAGATTCAATTGCAAGTTGGTTGTTTTTTGGCAGGAAAAATGATGATGTGGCGAATTAACAGGGTAGATGGTAGAAAAGGGTAGGGGGATAAACAGGACAGATAAAAGATAAAATAAGGAGTGAAATCAAGGTCAGAGTGAAGAGTGAATATTAAGACGAAAAGAATGAAGAAGGAAGTGGGAGAATGACTTTGGAGAGGAGAAGGAAGTTTATTGAAAGTATGGTTTCACATCATTTTCCAATAAAATCCTACCCATCTATCCAAACATGTTGGGTCGAAATTAAATTCCCTGAATGTAAATCCAAAATTTGCAAACATATGTTAAATTTAGGATATATTTACACAGATTGGTTATTTTTGGATATATGTTGAACTTTTTTACCTTATCTAAACTCTTTCAGAACCATTTATTTCACATACGGTATAATTATTAATGAACCTTTGTTGAGCATCCTTTTATTAGAAAAACTAAAATGGTTACTCCAAGCAGCATAATCAATAGAGCCCACTGTAGTTGTTGTGATCCAAAGAGTATCCTGGCTCTGTTCCTCGGTAATGGGGAAAATCATTTTGCAAAGTGCCATAGGTCCACCAATTGCTGGTGACATGCATCTGACTATTGCAGAGCTGCAGAAGACAGATGCTGACCTCATCAGCTATTTATTGGCTGTGAGTCAGCTGTGTGCTGTCAGCCAACAAATGCCCATGTGTGTAAAGAATATGCACAGAACTGACATTAGCCAATCCCGAAAACTTGTTCCGACCTGGCTACTGAACCCCAAAGACACTGTAGAGTTGGGGTCACACCTCCGACAGCAAAGTGGTTAAAC